GCGGCACCCAACTTTCTCTCCACTTCTCCCCAAAACCACGACGGGCGGAGACGGCGGTGTCGCCGTCGGTTCCCTCGTCGGTGCGCGCGCCCACCGTAGAGTGAGCACGCCGCCGTTGAGCGGTCTAGCACGGCGCCCTTGGCACGCGTGCACGGCTCGGTGAAGCGCCGGCTTCCTGCGCTACGGCTGTGGGATGGCGGTGGTGCCACGGGGCCTCTCGCGGGGCGCTGTCGGAGCAAATCTGGTTCCCTTTCGTTTCTATCCCCGCACAGAGCGAGCGAGGTCTATAGCCGAGGAGGAGGAGGACGGCGCCATTGCTGAGGCCTCTCTCGCCCTTGGCGCTGCGCCGCGAGGTGGTGAGCAGCGCCGCCGTCGAGCGATCACAGCGATTTGTGGTGCCTCGAGTCCCGGCCTGCGCGTGACGGTGAAAGCGATGTTGGCTTCAAGACGATTTTCTGCCCGGCGCCATCAGGCAGCCGGCGGTGGTGGGACTTCTTCCCGCACGACGGCGGCGGGCGGCGACGGCGGCGAGTGTACCCAGGTAGGAACCTCCCCTTTCCGTCCTTGCTTCTTGGGTTAGGGTTAGGGTTAGGTTCTCTTTCTAATTTCTTTTCACTTTTTCTACCCCGGTCTAAATCTCGCACTGGAACCAGGCTCTTGATGCCATTGATAGATGTCTTGGACTATCTAGGCGTAGATCTAGTGGTTAAAACATAACTTAGATAAGAACTTTGGTTATGTACCTCGCCGGACCGAGTCGCGGCCATAGCGCCGCCGTAGATATAGCAACGACGTGGAGGAGCTGTCCAGTGGCAGCGGCGAAGGCAGGTGGAGCTTCCCGTCGCTCACAACACTCCCTCTAGATCGGACTAGGGTTAGACTCGGTGGGGAACTGGCGGCTGTAGTGAACCTCGTGTCTCAAGCTCCAGCTCCCACCTCCTTTACATAGTGCTGCACGACGGAGGCCCACCAACCAAGAGAGCGGCTGGGCGCCTCCGATCAGGACGCGAGTTAAGGGCCCAATTAACCGTTGGACCAAATTGATGGAGATCGACCTAGAGTTTTAGTCGGACAGTCGGACAGGTTGGACACAAATGTCACTCACACTCACAGACCACACACCTCCCTTTCCTTCAAGCTGGCTCAAAGCTAGCTAGTAGCCAGCCGCCCGGCCTGGCCCAAAGTGAGAGAACTGAACACGGTCCATAACGAGAACATGTGTCGTGTTGGTTGGCGCCGCTGCTGTTGCTTCTTGGTTTGGGGAGCGAATGCAAGCGGCGCAGGAACGAAAAGCACCCTGCCTGGTGCCCTGCATGCATGGCATGGCATCTCGCATCCATGATCCATGGTTGTCCCCGGCCGGGCCGGTTGCCGTCGATCGGGTGGCCCTGTTGCCGATGCGCCGACAGGTTTGGCCTCCGCGCTTCAACAAGACAGTTGTGCGAGTTCCGCTTCGTTTTGGCATGATTGCCTAGCGTGCGGTGGCACCTCTGTCGCCTAGAGTACGTACGTATAATTGCTAGGGACCCAAGCGTACCGTGTATCTGTCGCGGTGCATAGCAGACACTGTTCGTGGACCACCACTCGTACCCGAGATACACCATGGTACAGTGTACATGCAGTATGCACATGTTCAGCTTACTGGCATCCATCGTCCATTCAAATTCCCATATCCGTCGCAGCACCCCAGAATAAATGGAATCGAGTGGCCCGCGGGCTGCTACCGGCCCAAGTTATCTAGCGAACATTGACTCTAGAAAAAGTGACCCGAACTTACTTTCTCCATGGACTGGGCCACTCAGTGCTAGCGAGCAGAGTGCGTCGTGCTCTTGGAGTTTTTTTTTTTTCATTTGTTTTGCAAAAATGTTTGTCCCCATCCAATAAGACATTTGACGACCATTATTCTGTTGTAGTATTTTATTTATTTACAGCTTTTCGAACGACATGTTATTTCACTTTGTTGGCTGACTGGTGTTAGGTTTGTGGAACAAGGTAGTCTATCATCATCTTATTTCTCAAGTTCTTTATTTGGTTCGTGGAATATAATGAGTTGATCAATCACCACCTCACTCATCACCAGCTAATAATTAGTACTAGTATGATTAATAAAATTATGTCACTAAATTTAAAAGATGAACTCATGATGGATCACCTTATCTAGAATAAGTTAATTCCCCAAACCAAACACTCCATTAATGTGCCAGTTTGGACCAAATGTTGTTTCAAATGTATTTAAATTTTGTAGCCAGAATAAATGTTCAAATATAACACTTAGTTCACCATCTCATTATATACTGTTATAATTATAATCTCATACAGGGGCAGAATTTTGTTAGGGCCAAGCTAGGCCACGGCCCCCCTGTCCAACGCGATTTCCCTTTGCTAAATTGTAATTCCTTTACCGTTTATGCAAGATTAGTACTCATTTTTAAAGACTAGCCCCTCCTGGTACTTTTGATGAATCTCTGCCATTGATCTCATAGAAAATGGTGATGATGTTTTAAAAAAAAACGCTAAAAAAGTTTGACAAATCTCGGTAACTTGTCGTCTTCACAATTTTGAATAGGATTTTACTGTTTGAAATTGTCCAAAATATTGAATTTATCATTTAAAATTGTCACAAGTTCTATGTATGGTGCCAGCCATAATTTGCCACAACTAACCTTAAGTGAGTGTGGCTAGAAAAATTTTGAGCCTCATTGTGCTATGTTTAAGGGAATCTTGGTGTGTTTTTTTACTCTATGATAATGGAGCATAAAAGAATCTTGTCTAGTTACTAACCAAATACTTGTCAACTTGATCAAACTTGTTTAAGGGGAAGTATGATAAAGTGTGGCTAGTACACCTCATCAAAAAAAAAAAAAAAATGTCAAAAACTGGAACTGCGGGCTTTTATACAGCACACATAAAAAAAGAAACTATGTCGGGTCTTGGGTACTAGAGTGAGGCCTATATTTGGGCCATGCGTGCGGGCTGATTCTAGTCAAGTTTGGGCTGACCGTTTCTCGTTTCCAGAAAATATGGACAAATTCCGATTTTGCAAAACGACCACCGCGTCCGTATTGGCCCTGTGGCCCATCTGCCTCACCTATCGCTCTCACCGGATTTGCATTTCCCATCAATACTAGTACAATCCACAATCATGTACTGATGTATGTACTAGCACTAGCAACCTGATAGCATGTCCTCTAGGTACTCTAAATTCCACTCTGTATTTTCATTTGGCTATTAATTTAGTCCATAGAGTTTCTTCTTCACATTTCAGCATACTCCAAGGACTTCAAGAAACTAGCCAAATCTTTCTCTATATTTTTTATTTATATTTTATTGGTCGATACTTGTTTCCCTTAGTTTTTTAAAAATTAAATCTATACTCTTATACTTTATACAATCAGTCAATTTTGAGGAACTTTAGTTTGAAATAGTTACTTTGTTGTATATTCTAGGAGTGATTCTAGGAGATTGATATAGTTACCTTTTGAACAGATTGATATAGTCACCTTTTGTTTTTATTTTTTTGAAAACGAATGGAGTTTCGAAGCAAAGCAACATGAAGAAGCACCCTTGCAAGCTGCCGGTGCTAGTATTTTTTTCCCAATTACACTTTACAGAAACAACCACTTATATTTGCCTTATCAAAGTATATGCACATATCTTATCCCTATGAGTACCTTTAAAGACCGAGCTGGTATAACTTAAAATTGACAAAGTTACCATAGATGTCTCGTTGTGGTTGAGCACCTACCACTAAAAAAGCATCACAGTTAAATTTTAAGATAAATCTATAAAACAAACGGCACACACACAAGTTGAGAATTTAAATCCAAATAGATAAATTTCACAACAAGAAACCCAATCAATATGAGATACGCTCAATTCTAGCCGGTCCTAGGTGCTAAGCCAGCCTGTCAGATTTGATTGCACTTGCACTATAGTGTACCCAACAACAGGGATGGCGAAGGCTAGTCGGCTCGAAGCTCAATTTTCTTGCGTGGTATCTAAAAAAATTATGTCGAGTCTGATATCGTGTGTGCACAATCACATGTATGATGCATAAATTCATTAGATTTACTATAACATATAAATTTATAGTTGATGTTATAAATATTGATATTGCTTTTTTTTATAAACTTGATAAACTTAAGGCTCGTTTGGTAAGGCTTCAGCTCATTCTTAAATGGCTCCAGTTTCGACTCCTCTCCTGGAGCTAAAGCAGTTTTAGAAAACATTGCTAAAAACGACTCTTGTGACAATTTTATAGTAATTTGTGTCAAATTTATAAGTAGTAGTAGAAAGAAGTTATGTTTTAACTGTTCTAACTTCTCTAGCCTCTTTGCAATGAGCTGATTTTAGATGGTCGTTTGGCATAGCTCTATGGCAAGAATCATATCATAAAAGGTTAAAGTCGGAGCAGTACTAAAGAGACCTTTGTAGTTTGACTAAGAACTGGAATTGAATAATTTTTCATAACAGAAATAGTACTAAACTAGGACTTTCATTTCACGTTTTTTTCTCTGGCCACGCGGTAGGAACATATTTCGCGAAATTTGGAATTTGAGGCTACTGTAGCATCTTTGTTTTTATTTGGCAAATAGTGTTCAAACATTGACTAATTAGGCTTAAAACGTTCGTCTCGCAATTTCCCACCAAACTGTGCAATTAGTTTTTCTTTTCGTCTACATTTAATGCTCCATGCACGAGCCACAAACATTCGATGTGACAGGTACTATAGCAACTTTTTAAACTTTAGTGTCCAACTAAACAAAGCGCACATCACGTTGTCCTTTTCCCTGCCGTTGCCTGCTGGTACCTTTTTTTTTTGTTTTTGTTTTTGGAGACGCTTGCCTGCCGGTACCTCTGCTTTACCAATATAGTACCACCAGTAGTACTACAGCTCACTAGACTACCAGTAGTACTGCAGAACAGTGCGCGCACGGAGCAGCCACAGCCCACACCCCTCGCCTTGGCCTCTTTAAATACCGTGCATCCCGGCGCCGCAAATGGCTCACGCGGCGCTGCTCCACTGCTCCCTCCTCACAGCCTGCCGCCGCGGCAGCCACCACCACCGCGCCCCTTCGCACGTCCCGCGCCGCTCCCGCCCTCGCCGACGCGGCGGCGTCGTCAGCCTGCGTCCGATGGCCTCGTCGACGGCTCAGGCCCCCGCGCCGGCGCCCCCGGGCCTGAAGGAGGGCATCGCGGGGCTGTACGACGAGTCGTCGGGGCTGTGGGAGAGCATCTGGGGCGACCACATGCACCACGGCTTCTACGACTCGGGCGAGGCCGCGTCCATGGCGGACCACCGCCGCGCCCAGATCCGCATGATCGAGGAGGCGCTTGCCTTCGCCGCCGTCCCATCCCCAGGTGCGTCGTCTACGCCCACATATCCTGGTCGTACGCTTGGGTCCACTGGGACCGGCTCAGGCTATCGCTTCCTGATTGGTTGAAAACGGCTCGCAAAGCTAACAAACGGCCCAGCTTTTTCTCTGCAATATAAATGGTACGGGTACAAGAAAAACGACTCACGGCACGAGGCGCTGCACGCTGTTTGTTCCTTCGCTTGCTTGCTCCTTTGTCCGGTATAGTACTGTACTACGGTTGTTAATAAAAGTTTCTCGCTAACCTGCGATCTAATACTGGATTCGGGAAAAAATTTCCTATATCTTCGACTGCTGCTCGATCTTAAGTCTTAGCCCTATCTATACCATGATCTTTCACATATCTCCGACTGATGCTAGATCTTAAGTCTCAACCCCACCTATAGCGTAGAACTTTATCTAAAAATTTGTGAGAGTTCCAAAGGGCTCCACTGCTCCGGTATCGGGAGGGGGCTCGAGCCCCCCCCCCGCGAGAGCCACTCGAGAATCAAGATCACAAACAGAACAAATCTGATGACCGATCCTTGGCCGTGTCGCCATCGGTTTGAGGGCGGAAAACTGAGGCCATATTTAGTTCCACCAAATTTCTAACTTTGACACTATGTAAAAAGAAGATTCCTCGTCACATCAAACTTGTTGTATATGCATGGAATACTAAATGTTGATGAAATCAAAAACTAATTGCACAGTTTGGTTGTACTTTACGAGACGAACGTTTTAAGCCTAATTAGTCAACGATTGGACAATTATTACTAAAGAAAATCAAAACGCGCTGTAGCTACAGTGTAGCTACAGTGATTTCGTCGGCGCCGAATCGGCCGAACTAAACACGGCCTGAGCTCGAGTTGGGATTGCTGGCAGAAATGTGCTGTACTTGAGATGGAACGACGGACGTCTAATCTGTTTATTCGCTGTCCCTTCTGAGTTCTGAAACAGTGGTGCGATTGAGACTTGCCCGATTGGAGAGCTCTTGATTCTACGACTGAAATTTAGTAGTGTATGGTTGGATAATGGACTAAACGTGAACTAATTAAAATTTTCATTTTTCTAATGCGTTCTACTCATCGATTAGTCTCTTTTAGTTTTTGGTAGACTATGATTAGTTAGTGTTTAGGTCTTCTATTTGGCATTCAAAACATGGACTAAACTTTAGTTTAGTTCATACAAACATGCCCCAAACTGCAGACTCATGGGTTATGTATTCTGCCTATCTTCATGGATTGCACGGCTAGATCTGTGACTCCGTATCAATCTTGGATGCATTTTCTGCTCTCTTAGTTGCAGCTAGGAGCCTACGAGTACCAACACTGATTACAGTGGCTATATCCATTGGAGATCCAAAAACGAGCAATGATTATAATTCATAGCGAACTGAGCATAGAGTAATGATCATAGCAAACTGAACCTACTTCACTTAATTAGGTTTCTTTTGGTGAATTCCACCCATAAAGTTCGAGTCTATGATTTGTTTTGGTACATGTACTCACCTTTTGAACTAATCCTTTGTTTATTGACGACGATGTTTACGTCGACAACCAGTATAGTAACTAACAAACAAAGCAATTCCGAGATATTGCTGGTTTGGTAGTATATGCCTACGTGCATTCGTAGGGATGAGTTGTATGTGTGTACATACACATGTGTGTTTTTACTTTTTTTCAAAGTAAAATCTCCAATCACAATTCTATCCTCATGTTGATGCACCCCAATGCAGACTTCATGTTTTATTAGGTTTCCTATTTATTTTTGCGTGCAGATGATCCGGAGAAGGCACCAAAAAACATAGTAGATGTTGGATGTGGAATTGGTGGTAGCTCAAGGTACTTGGCGAAGAAATACGGAGCGCAGTGCAATGGGATCACGTTGAGCCCTGTTCAAGCTGAAAGAGGAAATGCTCTCGCTGCAGCTCAGGGGTTGACGGATCAGGTGGCCACTGCTCCAACTCCTACCTCTCTTGCAAATGGTTTTCGATCGGTGAATTACCTATACAGCTACCCTTGAGACTGACTATATCCACCAGTTTCTAACGTCTCCCTTCCTCCACCCTGGCGACCGGCGTGACGAAGCAGGTTACTCTGCAAGTTGCTGATGCTCTGGAGCAACCGTTTCCTGATGGGCAGTTCGATCTGGTATGGTCCATGGAGAGTGGCGAGCACATGCCGGACAAGAGAAAGGTAACGTATTCTATTCCCCCTTTTTTTAAAAGACAAGGCAACATGGCTTTCCACAAAAAAAAATCGAGATCTGCAATCAGATGATGTAAAGACATTGCGGCAAGTCGGCAAGGGTCGCCATGCATCCGTTTGAATCGGTAGCATGAGTTTGTTAGAACTGGAAAAAAGAAAGCATATCAAATATGGGACGATCTCCTTTGTGGATACTTTTAGAGTTATCGGGCACAGAGTCAATCACAGCCATGCTGCCTTATCTTTCAACTATTGTCAAAAGACACAGAGTCAATCACAGCATTTGCAGATGGTATACCACCCGAGAAAAAGAAAGTTCACAGAAACCCACCTATCTTAACCCAGAAAGGCCGGTGGGTTTTTGTGTGGATACTGGATACAAGCTGGACTGAATTCAGTCAGCTGCTTCGGAAAAACAAAGAAGAATATGCAACGATTGCAGTCCAAAACGTATACTGGTGTGAGATAAATGTCACGGCGCTGAAAAACTAAAGAGGGTGGTTAAAAGTTTGGTTTATTCAGTAATTCCGGTCGAACAACATGAATCAGAATTAGAACTATGAACATCGGACAAGTTCAATCCAAGTGACCAAGTCCTAGATGAATATTTGAATGTGTCGATTTCTCTCTCGGCAATACTTACTATTTTATTGAATTATTAATGTGTTTTGCTTGAACTCTCATCTGACCTCGTATTAGTTTGTTAGTGAGCTGGCACGCGTCGCGGCTCCTGGAGGGACAATAATCGTCGTGACATGGTGCCATAGGAACCTCGAACCATCTGAAACCTCGCTGAAACCCGATGAACTGAGCCTCCTGAAGAGGATATGCGATGCATACTACCTCCCGGACTGGTGCTCGCCTTCAGACTATGTGAACATCGCAAAGTCACTGTCTCTCGAGGTAAATACTGATTGTATTCTGAATTCTGATTGGATTTGAAAGATCCTTTTGTATTTAGCTTGCTTACAAATCTGCGTCGTCAAGATCTTGACTACCTTGAATGTTCTATCCACCTACTAGCGGACCACACCAAATTGGCAATTTGCCTATGTGATATCAATCAACATATCATAAAAAATTCTTTTCGTTGTTGCATGTGGTGCCAGGATATCAAGACAGCTGATTGGTCGGAGAACGTGGCCCCGTTTTGGCCCGCTGTGATAAAATCAGCACTAACATGGAAGGGCCTCACCTCTCTGCTGACGAGCGGTATGCAACTTAATTCTCCCCCACCCATCTTTGTTAAGGCTCTGTTACTGAGTATGGACTGCAGCAAAAACTCTTGAACCCATCGGGACCTGAATCGGTTTGGCATTGAATTTTGTCTCTGTCTCAAGGATGGAAGACGATCAGAGGGGCGATGGTGATGCCGCTGATGATCCAGGGCTACAAGAAGGGGCTCATCAAATTCACCATCATCACCTATCGCAAGCCTGGAGCAGCGTAGGCGACCAAGGAGCAGAAGTTTACTGCCGCAGCGCCTCTGCCAAGTACAATAATGTAGATCCGTGGCCCCATCGCCGTCTACTTATCTGTACTGTACCAGAATGAACAGTCTCCTGGGACATGTTCGCCAATTGCCATGACTGTCAAATAATTTTCTACCACTCGTCGAGATATTTCAGATTCACAGTTCACAGGCTTCCATTAGTATTGATCGAGACGTGGCGTGCTCCCAGCACCCCCGACCCCTGTCCTTCATCCCCACCCACCGCCGGTCCTCTTTGTTTGGAGGGTAGGGTACTGTTTCCCACGCCGGGACTCATTTGGTCGACACGTCATAAGCCTTTCTGGCCCGTTCGACTGGTATTAAAGCCAGCTGATAAGCCAGTCTTAGCTAGCTGATAAGCCGGCTGATAAGTTCAAGCGAACATGCTCGCCGAATCGCCGTCTCTAATAAGTTGGCTCCGACGAAGTGACATTGTAGGCTCGACGTGACGACGTGCCAATGGCCGTCCCTCACTTTCACGGACGAAAGCTCTCAGCCAGCCATGCCGTGCGAGTTGCCGTGGACGACTCAGTGAGACCGCGCAGCGTAGCATGTGAGCCAAACTTGGCAGCTGGCACGTCACCACTGCTACTGAGGAACGAAGGCGACTAACCAGGTGGGCTCGACAATCGGCGTGGCCCAGACACAGTCGCATGGGGGATCCAGTCCCGCCTAGTATGGGCTGTAGCTCCAGATGTACCGGGCTCGGTATTGATGGGTCCATAAGTTAGTACATATAGGCCGAGTGTCGTGTATTGCTAGAGAATATCTATAAAAGAGAGAGATCTCTGGACAATTTTGGCTCATGGCTAGGAGCCTAGGATTCAAACTCTTCACCGGTTCAAACCCTTTTCCTTTCAAAAAGCGATTAGTTCTTTTATTTCAATCAATGAATATAGAGCTAATTCTCTCGGTGCTACGGAAAAATATTAAATTCTCTTGTGTTCCACTGCAGCAAAATTTTATCCCTTCCTTGCCACTGTCATCGTGTTCTGTTATTTTTTTGAGGTAAATATTCACGGAGAGGCATTGTTGTCGGTTGACAATGTTGCTCCAACTGACTGACATAACCGGTTAACCGGTTAAAATGACATAATTTACACTTCATCCCAAATTATAAGTATTTTTTGCTGGTGCTAGGGGAATGGACACTCGTCGAGAGTAAGGTGGTGAAAGGTCCTAATATGGCTAGAGGGGGGTGTGAATAGTCTATTTAAAAATCTACAAACCAACTAGAGCAATTTGATTAGTATGACAAACAGTGAAAAATAAACTTGCTCTAGCTCTACAAGGGTTGCAAGCCACCTATCCAACAATTCTAGTTATTATGATCACTAGACACACAATTCACTAAGTCACTACTCACTAAGAGTTCTCACACTTGCTACACTAAAGAGCTCCACTAGATAAACTTAAGCTACAAAGCAAGCTCTCAATTCTAGTTACACTAAAGAGCTTGGTACAACTAGTTTGCGGGAATGTAAATGAGTAAGTGAGGTGATTATACCGCCGCGCAGAGGAGTGAACCAATCACAAGATGAATACTAACTCAATCACCGGGAGAATACCTAAGGGTAAGAGACAACCATTTTTTCTCCCAAGGTTCACGTGCTTGCCGGCACGCTAGTCCCCGTTGTGTCGACCAACACTTGGTGGTTCAACGGCTAAGAGGTATTGCACGAACCTCGTCCACACAATTGGACACCGCAAGAACCTACCCACAAGTGAGGTAACTCAATGACACGAGCAATCCATTAGAGTTACCTTTCGGCGCTCCGCCGGGGAAGGCACAAGACCCCTCACAATTACCGGTAGATAGCCACGAACAATCACCAACTCGTGCCAATCCTCCTCCGCTGCTCCAAGCCATCAAGGTGGCGGCAACCACCAAGACCAACAAGCGAATCCCGCAGCAAAACACGAACATCAAGTGCCTCTAGATGCAACCACTCAAGCAATACACTTGGATTCTCTCCCAATCTCACAAAGGTGATGAATCGATGATGGAGATGAGTGGGAGAGCTTTGACTAAGCTCACAAGGTTGCTATGTCAATGCAAATGGCCAAGAGAGTGAGCTTGAGCCGGCCATGGGGCTTAAATAGAAGGCCCCACGAAATAGAGCCGTTGGATCCTTAGTTCACTGAAAATCGAGGTGACTGGACGCTCTGGTCATATTGACCGGACGCAGGACCCCAGCGTCCGGTCGCGCGATGCACGCCACGTGGCACCTGCTTCAAATACTGATCGTCCGATCTCAACAGTCATTGGCACACTTAAGTTGTGACTGGACGCGCTGCTCGAAGTGACCGGACGCACCAACACCATCGTCCGATCGTTTCCAGTAAGGTTCCACTCGCGACCGGACGCGTTCGGTCACGCCTGATCGGACTCGTCCAGCGTCCGGTCACTCACGGTCTTCTCTGTGCGCTACCACGTCAGCGGGACCGGACGCAGCCAGCTAGTGTCCGGTCACGAAGTGACCCAGCGTCCGGTCGAAGACCGACGCCAGCGTCTTCACTGCTTCCACTGACCGGACGCTCCGATCTAGTTGAGACCAGAATCCGGTGCACTCTGTGAAACTCTGTCTTTTTTGTATAGGGCGCCGGTGAAGTTTCTTACCCTTGCTTTCAAGTGCTAAACACAATGTGTATCACCTTTGTGCATATGTGTTAGCATATTTTCACAAACATTTTCAAGGGTGTTAGCACTCCACTAGATTCTAAATGCATATGCAATGAGTTAGAGCATCTAGTGGCACTTTGATAACCGCATTTCGATACGAGTTTCACCCCTTTTAATAGTACGGCTATCGATCATAAATGTGATCACACTAACTAAGTGTCTCGATCAATAGAACGAAAAGCTCCTATCAAGTTTCACCTTTGTCTTAAGCTTTTTATTTTTCTTTCTCCTTTTTTCAAGTTCAAGCACTTGATCATCACCATGCCATCACCATCATCATGTCATGATCACCATTGCTTCACCACTTGGAGTAGTGTTACCTATCTCATAATCACTTTGATAAACTGGGTTAGCACTCAGGGTTTTATCAATTCACCAAAACCAAACTAGAGCTTTCAGGTGGGCATCGAGCCATCGAGGTGGTGAATTGGGTGCACAGGCAGCCAGGTGAGGCACTAGAGTTTGAGTGCACTGAGCTCACGCGCCGCGACAAGTATTGTCATCAAGTAGAGAGCGCCGAGTGTGTGCCGCAACCTCTAGGTGTGTGTTTTTATGCATGCTCGCGGGGTAAATTACTATAAAAAAGTTAGTCATGTAATTTGAATGTCATTAATGCATCTTTTGGTTCCATTGTGTAAATAAAATTTGATTAGCAGCAAGACTAATCAAATACCGTATGCAAATTTTGTCATAGTGGCATGATCTCATGCGTCCATGTTCCACTTATTTTGTTGTCATGTTAATATGATCTAAACCTGCAATGAAAACCAAGCACATAAGCAAAATTTTACTTCGTTTAATTGGAGGGGCAAATGTGTCTTTTCCACAATAACGTGACATGGAAGGAATGCGAATTTGTGGAAGTGGCACACAAGGGAATTTAACAATTTTAGTGATACACAAGAAAGTCATTTTTTGGGCATCTAGAGAATTACATTGGCTCATGAATATATTATGGCTATATCTAGATTAGCTAGAGCTAAGAGCTAAAATAACTCTATGTAATTTAAATAAACCAACCAATAGCTTATATTCATTGAACCATCCAACCATCTAGCTAACAAAAACTAATGGCTGGTTGCCTTTATCTAACCACCTAGCAACAAAAAAAAACTACTCGCTGGCTTACTGCTTCAAATCCAACCAACCAAACCTGATGTTATTTACATCAAATGGTGCACGGAAATAGAAGTATGGAATAGATCAGACATATCAAGCAATGTTTCAAGTTTAAAACCACATATCCTTGTGAACATGTCTGTAGCCTAACGTGAGATTTAGTAACACCTTAGGTCTGTAGTCTAGTGGGATGAGTGAATTAAAAACATGTCAGTTAAAAAACATCCTCATCGCATCTGAGTTACTTCAGCAAGATGCACATGGCCTCAGGCATGTGTCATGGATGCTTAGTGGCAACTCCAAAGTAACTAGCTATCAAAGTTTGTCAACCTGCACCTGATGATAATTTTCTTTTTTAGTATAGTGTCGGATACCACAAGAAGGGGTACCCTAAGTAAGATCCAAGAATATTGCTTAAGCTTTGCTAAAACCAAAGCCAAAAGACTACTGCAAGGTCTCGGCAGAATTCTCTGATTCGCCCGAGGCCTTGCGCCGAGGCCTCATGCGAAACAGGCCTAAAACGTCCCGCCGAGGCCCTCTCGCCGAGACCCTCTCGCCAAAGCCTCGCCCCGAAAGGCCTCGGACGGATCTCCAATTCTCCGATTCGCTCAAGGCTGGGCTCGACGGACGTACTCGTAACCTCCGTCCCGATCGAACTCCTCTGGCAAAACGTCACGTCCGGATTAAATGCACCCAACCACTCCCGCAAACGTCAGCCGCACGCAGGTACAGTGCGGGCAGAACAACTGACAGGACAGGGACCGGGCACAACAGGGGTTACCTGCCACTATACTCACCACTGTGCTCCCTCCTAACACTTATACTGCCATGTCCTACCTAACCCCTGCACCAAGGACAAAGCGGCATGGAAGGTCGAGTCCATGTCCCTGTAGCCTCGGAAACAGCAGGAGAGCCCAGCTGCTCGGTCTCTGCCTCGTCCGAGACCCCCGGCAAGGCCTCGGACGCGCCATCCCTTCTCCACCTCGGCCGAGGCCGGGCTCATCCCGCATTCTCGTCGCCTCCGCCTCAATTGCCCCTCTGTCGGGCCGTCCCATCCGTGTAAGTATCCCTAGTTACGCCTACGTCAGCCACGATTAGCAGGGTATGGCAAAAAGGGCGATGGGACGGCGGTCAAATCATCTTTTTACCATCCCCT